CCCGGCGCGGCGGCGCGAGGAGGCCCCCGGTCACGCCCAGGGTCGCGACGAGCGCCAGGAGCCGCGCGGGTCGAGCCATGGCGCCGCGCGCGACGCTGATGCAGAGCTTCAAGCACAAAGCGAGGCCTTTGGCCGATGTCACGAGCACTTCGACGGAAACGTTGGCCGGGCGCAGCACTCGCACCATTCGCAGCCCGGGCCATCCGAGATGCTCGGCGGCGACCCGTCGTCGGCGGGCGCGCGCATGTCGTCGCTCTTCGGCGGCGGCGCGAGCAAGAAGGGCGGCGACACGAAGGCGCTGGCCTACACGGCGCCGCGGGAGCCCGGCAAGAAGCCGGCCCGGGAGGAGGCGCCCAAGGCCGCCGGCGGCGCGCCCGCCGTGCAGTACGCCTACGCGGGCCAGTGCACGCTCTACAAGCTGGAGCGCGGCGCCTTCGCCGCGGCGAGCGCCGAGCCGAAGCTCGGTGCGTTTTTTTCAAAGCGGCGCGCGCGCGCACGCGAACCCCCCCGCAGGCTGCGTCGTCCTCGGCTCCGGCGCGAGCTACCAGGTGCTCGTCTACGACTCGAAGAAGCAGCACATCTGCGCCGCGGCCGTCGGCGAGGTCGCCGCCTACGCGCTACAGCCCCACGACTACGTCAACTTTTCCGCGCGCGGCGCGACGTGGTCCGCGCACTTCGACGGCCCGGACGCCGTGAAGGAGTTCTGCCGCGCCGTCGCGCTCTGCCACATGCGCTGCCTCGCCATGAGCCCGGCGCCGCCGCCGGAGGCGGGCCTGCGCTTCGAGCTCGCGCGCGGCGGCGACCAGGCCGCCGCCGAGGGCGACGCCGTCGGCGTGACGTACGCGCGGTGGGCGTCGCGGGAGGACGACGCGTCGCCGCAGCCCGCGGCCCTCGCCAAGGAGCCGCCCGCGGAGGCCGTGCGCGACGCGGACAAGCCCCTCCGCCTGCGGGCGTCGGCGGCCTGCGAGACGGAGCCCGTCCGGGGCCTGGGCCTCGCGCTCGTCGGCGCGACGCTCCACTCCGCGCCGAAATCAAAATCTTCGACCCGGCTTCAATGTGAGAGTATGCGACCGTTTCGACGCGAGCTTTTTGGCTGTGCTTCGAGGACGCGACGAGAGCGATCGATGCGTCCAAGAATCAGCCGAATCGACTTCGAATTGACCGAGATAGAGCGTTCTGACGTGTGGTTGGGATAGTGGTTGATTTCGGCACAGGCTCCACTCGACCGTCGGCGTCGCGCTGTCGCCCCAGGCCGCGGGCGTCGACGGCCTCTGGACCTGGGTCGAGTGCGACGTCGTGAAGATACGCACGCCCAAGAAGGAGCCGGCCGCGGCGCCCGCGCCCGCGCCGGAGCCCGCGGCGGAGAGCCCGAGCCTCGCGGCGCGCATGGCGGGCCTCGCGGCCAAGGGCGGCGGCGGGGCCCTCCCGATGCCCGCCGCGAGCCCGCCGGCGACGCCCGAGAAGGTCCGGGAACCCGAGCCCGAGAGCCGCGCGCTCGTGTCCGTCGGCGACGGCGCGCGGTCGGGCCTGCTGCCCCCGGCGCCCGCGCCCGCGCCGCCGGCCGACGCCGCGGCGGCCCAGATGGCGAGCCTCCAGCTCATGCAGCAGACCATGCAGCAGCAGCAGACGCAGCAGCAGCTCCTGGCCATCGCCTCGAGCCTCGCGGTCGCGAACGACAAGCTCGACCGCCTCGGCGCCGGCGGCGCCGCGCGCGCGCCGGCGAGCCTCCCCGCGGACCCGGACCTCGAGCAGAAGATCGTGCACGTGATCCGCGAGCACGGCCAGCTCCGCGCGGCGGCGCTCGCGGGCGACGGGCGGAGGGAGGGCCTCGAGGAGAAGATCGCCGAGCTCCGCGAGAAGAACGCGGCGCTCGTCGGCGAGAAGGTCGCCGTCATGGAGAAGCTCTCGGAGCACCTGAGCCGCGGCTCCGCGGACGTGTCGCGGGTCCGGGAGCTCGAGGCGGCGACGTCGAAGCTCGACGCGGACCTCGAGCAGGCCCGGCGCGGCGCGGCCGAGGCCAAGGTCGCCGCGGAGCTCGCGGTGTCGCAGGCCGAGCGCGCGGCGGCCGAC